GATCCACTAACCGGGGCTTGGAAGGGCCCCGACCCACTCTTAACCCAAGGGAGAGGGTTTGCTTGTATTTTTCCAGAAGGTGAGAAAAATCCCACGTGGATTCCTGCCTGTAACATCAAACCCTGCACCACCAGCCATGAGCCATAGACCACCATCACCATCACCCCCGGTAGAAGAAATGGAGGACCTGACCATAGAGGACAACCAGCCCCAGCGGCGGAGACGACCAAGATATCGACAAACCCACAACATTACCTGTGGAGACATCAAGAATCTACAGGATCAAGCTGCACACATGGCACCAGAAGGCAATCTGTCAGAAGGGACATTATTCCTATTAATGTGTGCCATCATAACAGCGAACTCTCAGGCACGAGCACATATATGGGCGGCCATACCTCATCCAGGGGTGCTCATGCCTGTCAGCGCCACAGCCTACAATTCCCCGCTGTCCAAGTGTCTGACTGCTCTGTAGGCTTACCCTGTGACGGAGCGGAACCGGTCTCATCGCCATGGAACGGGACGGTATGGGCTGATACCAGTAGCCCTAACCTTCTTAAGTGGACTCTAGATAACGGGACTACCCCGGGACAAGGGTGGATATACTTAGCACCTCATGAAACCGGGGACTTTTACTGTAATAACCATTTCTGTGAAGAGGAGGTTATGTTGGGACTTTATGCAACCTTTCCCTTGGCCTTATCGAGCTGGACCAGGGTCTCCACCAGCCCCTCCACAGTACCCCTCTGCCCTTACCTTTTCCTCTCAGAGGAGTCGCCCCCCGTACTCCTCCCTTCCACGAGCATCCCCTGGGTAGAATGCCTCCATGCCTCCCAACCGGACGCGCAGACGGGCGCCCTGGGAATTTGGGGGAGACAGTTAAGAAAGGGAATGACACCATTTGCACTAAGAAACCCCATACAAGGATTACGCTCCCAATTCGGGCGGTGGGATTTATGCGGGCCCAATAGATGTATTGATCAAAGAGACTTCACCGGCCTAAAAGGGGCCTGCCTGTATAACGGCACCTGGAAAAAGCCGACAAGTAGATGGGAGAACAACGTCGCAGTCAATCCCAATACCACTCATAGTTTTAGTTACTGGCCCTGTGAGACCCCCCTTCTTCTTCTTACAAAGCAATTATAGCGCTTTTACTTGTACCCAGCAATCTTGTATACTATCTAATTGTTGGAATCCAAACCATGCCTATGCTCTAGCCATGCACACCCCCTCCCTACTTTGGGTTCCAGTAGAAGTCAGCCACTGGGACGGGCTGGCTGAACTAATAATCCATAAGGAATTCCAGAAAATAGAAAAAAGGGCTGTAGGACTAGTAATATTAATATCTTCCATAATAGCCACTATAGCAGGTATGGCCACAGGAATCACTTCCCTAGCCCAGGAGGGATTAACAGCGCAGTGTCTAAACTCCTTATAAGAGGTCACGGCCCAAGCCTTTGCTACACAAGCAACAATAAACCAACAGGTATGGGGGGCGTTACTCAATTTACAACAACAAATAGATTTAATCCAGGAAGACCTCGATAATTTATGGCAAATATCACACACCCAATGTGATATAAGATACGCTGCCATCTGTGTAAGGCCCATTCCAGTGAGAAATGCCTCCTAGGAGTGCCAAAAATTAGCAAATCTCCTTAAGGTCCATTCAGCCAGGCGTTCCAAAACAGCACCTAGGTGGTTATAAAAGCTATTATTCCGAAGGGCTGTCCTGAGTTCCATTGTCTTCAGAGCTTAAACCACCCAAACATCAGGATATTATTTGAGGTGATTGCCACCCAGGACAAGTTTAACCTGGTGATGGAGCACGTGAGGGGAGGGGACATACGAGAGCACCTGGAGACCGAAGGCCGCCTGACTGAGCGAGAAGCTCGGGCTGCATTCCGGCAGCTGGTGTCTGCGCACCAGTACTGCCACCACAGGGGCATCGCCCACCAGGACCTAAAGCCTGCCAACATCCTGATAGACGCCAACATGACCATCAAACTGGCAGACTTTGGTTTCGGCAAGGAAGCGAAGGGCCCAAAACTGAGCACCTTCTGCAGCACCATCTACTACATGGCCCCCGAGATCTTGAAGAACCAAGATTACAATGGCTGCAAAGTGGACGTCTGGAGCTTGGGCGTGACCTTGTACAAGAAGATGACAGGAAAGGTGCCATTCAGGGGGGCCAACTTTGTACGACAGAGGGAGAAGATCCTGGCGGGGAACTTTGAAGTGCCACATGTCCTGAGCAGGCAAAGCAAAGGTTTTTTTAAATAACTTACTGACTGTGGACCCCCACTAGAGGCCGATCATGGAAGAGGTCATGGAGGACCCCTGACTCAACATGGGCCAGGAGGAGGAGCCGCAGCAGCCCTACAGCGAGACGCCCCAGGGGAACTTGGACGCCCACATCACAGCAATGATGCTGGAGCTGGGCTTCAAGCAGGAGGAGATCCAGCAGTCAGTGACACAGAGGACATTCGACAGAGTGATGGGGACACACCAGATCCTAAGAATGACGCAGACCAAGATGCCCGGCCACACCATCCAGATAAGGCCCTACCCTCCCTTGAGGCCAGGAGCATTTTCTCCAGCCAGGAGGTGGGTTGTGGGCAAAGCTCGGGAGATCTATCTCAGTGCTGCGGCCGAAGCAACGCTGTGAGCACAAGCCAGTGAACATGCTTCCTTGGCACACCAGGAAGTGGCAACGCCCGCCTGACAAATCTCCATGAGCCACCTACTCTTAGCCCCGACCCTCACGACCATTGGATAACATAGCAAGCGTGTCCCTATTGCATTGGCTGCTTATCCCTTTGTATACGGCTGTACTTCCTCAATAAACTTGGATCTGTGTCTCTGAACCTGGTCCCTGGAGTCGTGCATGCAGATGCCCCAGCGTGTTGGGCTCCGTCGTCCTCACCCACGGGGAACCCCCTGTTTCAGTGGATCAGTCAGTTGATAAAAAGACTGAACAGCCTTCCATTCCCCTAGACTGCCCGGGGTCGAAGGTGACCATTCCTCTACCGACCTGGTGGAAACCATATCCAACACTCCCCCAGCCGACCACCCTGAGATCAGGACAGCTACCCCAGCCCAGTCCTGAAGCGCGGCCCTGGCGGCTTCTCCACCATGTGCGACAGTAGCCGCAGCAGCACTATCAGCAGCTGGGGAGATCCAGGGGGATGCGCCCATGAACGCGGCCTCCACAATGGGCAGGATGAGGAGGAGACCAAAGACCTAGACTGCCCGGGTCGAAAGTGACCACTCCCCCACCCAGCCGGGAAGCCATAGCCGCCACTCCCCCAATCAACTCCACTGAGTTCAGAACAGCTAACCCCAGCCCAGTCCTGAAGAGCGGCCCTGGGGGCTCCTTCACATCGCACAACAGTAGCCCCAGGAGCACCATCATCAGGGGTGGAGCCCCAGGGGGAGCCAACCATGAAAGCAGCCTCCACAATGGACAGGCTGAAGGCGGCAACCCAGTCTCTCCCTCTGGCCACAGCCAGGGCCGGCCCGGGGGGGTTAGAAGGGCCTTGAGACTCCTATGAAAATTTACATGTTGTGGGTCACCAACCAACAAGAAGGGTTTTAGATCCCGAGTTCCGGCTGCTGGTGTCCGAACTCCAGGACTGCCACCACAGGGGCATCGCCCACCTGGACCTGAAGCCCGCCAACATCCTGTTAGATGCCAACAGGAGCATCAAACTTACCGGCTTTGGTTTCGGCAAGGAAGCGAAAGGCCAAAAACTGAGCACCTTCTGCAGAACCATCTACTACATGGCACCCGAGATCTTGAAGAAACAAGACTACGAGGGCTGCAAAGAAGACATCTGGAACTTGGGGGCAACATTGTACAAGATGGTGACGGGAAAGGTGCCCTTCCAGGGGCCAACTTTGTAGGACAGAGGGAGAAGATCCTGGCAGGGAACTTCGAAGTGCCACACTTCCTGAGCAGGCAAGGCAAAAGTTTTTTAAATAAATTAACTGACTGTGGATCCCAACCAGAGGCTGATCATGGAAGACATCATGGAGGACCCCTGGCTCAACATGGGCCAGTAGGAGGAGCCGCTGCGGCCCTACAGCGAGCCGCCCCAGGGGAACTTGGACGCCCATGTCACAGCAATGATGCTGGAGCTGGGCTTCAAGCAGGACGAGATCCAGCAGTCAGTGACACAGAGGACATTCGACAGAGTGATGGGGACATAGCAGAACTTAAGAATGACTCAGACCATGATGCCCGGCCGCACCATCCGGATAAGGCCCTACCCTCCCTTGAGTCCAGGAGCATTTTCTCCAGTCAGGAGGTGGGCCAGGAAGTTACTGAGAATACTAAACAGCCTTCCATTTCCCTAGACGTCCCGGGGTTGAAGGAGACCACTCCCCGACCCAACCTGGTGGAAACCATATCCACCACTCCCCCAGTCAACCACCCTGAGTTCAGGACAGCTACCCCCAGCCCAGTCTTGAAGCACAGCACTGGGGGTTCCCCCACCATACGCAACAGGAGCCTCAGGAGCACCAAGAGCAGGGGTAGAGCCCAAGGGGGAGCCGCCCATGAACGCGGCCTCCACACTGGGCAGGATGAGGAGACCGAAGACCTAGACTGCCCGGGGAGGAACGCGACATCTCCCCCACCCAGCCTGGTGGAAACCATATTCACCACTCCCCCAGTCGACCCCCCTGAGTGAAGGACAGCTACCCCCAGGCCTGTCCTGAAGCGCGGCCCTGGGGGCTCCTTCACATTGCAAAATATTAGCCCCTGGAGCACCATCATCAGGGGTGGAGCCCCAGGGGGAGCCGCCCATGAAAGCGGCCTCCACACTGGGCAAGCTGATGGGGACAACCTAGTCTCTCCCTCTGGCCACAGCCAGGGCGGGCCAGGGTGGGTTAGAAGGGCCCGGAGATACCGATTCAAATTTGCATGCTATGCGTCACCCACTAACAAGAAGGGTTTTAGCGCCGAGGTCCGGCAGCTGGTGTCCGTGCTCCAGGACTGCCACCACAGGGGCATCGCCCACCGGGACCTGAAGCCTGCCAACATCCTGTTAGATGCCAGGAGGAGCATAAACTTTGATGACTTTGGTTTTGGCAAGGAACCAAACAGCCAAAAACTGAGCACCTTCGGAAGCACCATCTACATGGCCCCCGCCAAGATCTTGAAGAAACAAGACTATGATGGCTGCAAAGCAGACGTATGGAGATTCGGGGAGACCTTGTACAAGGTGGTGACAGGAAAGGTGCTGTTCTGGGGGGACAACTTTGTAGGACAGAGGGCGAAGATCCTGGCGGGGAAGCTCCAAGTGCAGCATGTCCTGAGCAGACAAGGCAAAAGTTTTCTAAATAAATTACTGACTGTGGATCCCAACCAGAGGCTGATCATGGAAGAGGTCATGGAGGACCCCTGGCTCAACATGGGCCAGAAGGAGGATTCACAGTGGCCCTACAGCGAGCAGCCCCAGGGGGACTTGGACGCCCACGTCACAGCAATGATGCTGGAGCTGGGCTTCAAGCAGGACGAGATCCAGCAGTCAGTGACACAGAGGACATTCGACAGAGTGATGGGGACATAGCAGAACTTAAGAATGACTCAGACCATGATGCCCGGCCGCACCATCCGGATAAGGCCCTACCCTCCCTTGAGTCCAGGAGCATTTTCTCCAGTCAGGAGGTGGGTCAGGAAGTTACTGAAAAGCCTGAACAGCCTTCCATTTCCATAGACTGCCTGTGGTCGAAGGTGACCACTCCCCAACCCAACCTGGTGGAAACCATATCCACCACTCCCCCAGTCGACCACCCTGAGTTCAGGACAGCTACCCCAAGCCCAGTTCTGAAGCACAGCCTTGGGGGTTCCCCCACCATGCGCAACAGAAGCTGCAGGAACACCATCAGCAGGGGTAGACCCCGAGGGGGAGCCGCCCATGAACGCGGCCTCCACACCGGGCAGGATGAAGAGACCGAAGACCTATACTGCCCGGGGTCGAACGCAACCACTCCCTCACTCAGCCTGGTGGAAACCATATTCACCACTCCCCCATTCGACCCCCCTGAGTAAAGGACAGCTAGCCCAAGCCCAGTCATGAAGCACGGCCTTGGGGCTCCTTCACATTGCACAACATTAGCCCCAGAAGCACCATCATCAGGGGTGGAGCCCCAGGGGGAGCCGCCCATGAAAGCGACCTCCACACTGGGCAGGCTGATGGGGGCAACCTAGTTTCTCCATCTGGCCACAGCCAGGGCCAGCCTGGGTGGGGTAGAAGGGCCCAGAGATACTGATTCAAATATACATGCTATGGGTCACCCACCAACAAGAAGGGTTTTAGCACGGAGTTCCGGCAGCTGGTGTCCGGGCTCCAGGACTGCCACCACAGGGGCATCGCCCACCGGGACCTGAAGCCTGACAACCTCCTGTTAGATGCCAACAAGTGTATCAAACTTGCCGACTTTGGTTTCGGCAAGAAAACGAACAGCCAAAAACTGAGCACCTTCTGCAGCACCATCTACTACATGGCCCCCGAGATCTTGAAGAAACAAGACTACGAAGGCTGCAAAGCGGACATCTGGAGCTTGGGGGTGACATTGTCCAAGATGGTGATGGGAAAGGTGCCATTCTTGGGGCCAACTTTGTACAACAGAGGGAGAAGATCCTGGCGGGGAACTTCGAAGTGCCACACTTCCTGAGCAGGCAAGGCAAAAGTTTTTTTAAATAAATTACTGACTGTGGATCCCAACCAGAGGCTGATCATGGAAGACATCATGGAGGACCCCTGGCTCAACATGGGCCAGTAGGAGGAGCCGCTGCGGCCCTACAGCGAGCCGCCCCAGGGGAACTTGGACGCCCACGTCACAGCAATGATGCTGGAGCTGGGCTTCAAGCAGGACGAGATCCAGCAGTCAGTGACACAGAGGACATTCGACAGAGTGATGGGGACATAGCAGAACTTAAGAATGACTCAGACCATGATGCCCGGCCGCACCATCCGGATAAGGCCCTACCCTCCCTTGAGTCCAGGAGCATTTTCTCCAGTCAGGAGGTGGGCCAGGAAGTTACTGAGAATACTAAACAGCCTTCCATTTCCCTAGACGTCCCGGGGTTGAAGGAGACCACTCCCCGACCCAACCTGGTGGAAACCATATCCACCACTCCCCCAGTCAACCACCCTGAGTTCAGGACAGCTACCCCCAGCCCAGTCTTGAAGCACAGCACTGGGGGTTCCCCCACCATACGCAACAGGAGCCTCAGGAGCACCAAGAGCAGGGGTAGAGCCCAAGGGGGAGCCGCCCATGAACGCGGCCTCCACACTGGGCAGGATGAGGAGACCGAAGACCTAGACTGCCCGGGGAGGAACGCGACATCTCCCCCACCCAGCCTGGTGGAAACCATATTCACCACTCCCCCAGTCGACCCCCCTGAGTAAAGGACAGCTACCCCCAGCCCTGTCCTGAAGCGGGGCCCTGGGGGCTCCTTCACATTGCAAAATATTAGCCCCTGGAGCACCATCATCAGG